CTTGTTTATTTTTTCTGTGGAGTAATGTTTAAAATTTATATTTATTTATTTTTAGAGGGAGGGGAGGGGAAGGAGAGAAACATTGTTATATGACAGAGAAATATCCATCGGGAATCTCTGGCATACCCCAAGTGGGGACCTGGCCTGCAACCCAGGCTTGTACTCTGACCAGGAATTGAACTGGCAACCTCTCAGTTTGCAGGCCATCACTCAGTCCATTGAGCCACACCAGCTAGGGTTGGTGGAGTACTTTTTAACTCCTATTTTATATTCTTTTAAAAAAGATTTTATTTATTTATTTTAGAGAAATGGGGAAGGGAGGGAGAAAGAGAGGGAATGAAACATCAATGTAAGGTTGCCTCTAGCACACCCCATACTGGGGATATGGCCTGCAACCCAGGCATGTGCCCTGACTGGGAATCAAACCAGCAATGCTTTGGTTCGCAAGCCTGTGCTCAATCCACTGAGCTACACCAGCCAGGGCCTCCTATTTTATATTCTATATCCAATCCTTCAATGAACCCTGTTTTCACTTCCACCCTTGCCCTTTCCTCCCCACTGTATGTTCTTTAGTCTATATCTGGAATGAGCCTTTTAAAACATAAGCCAGATCACATCAATGCTCTGCTCCATGTGCTCAAGTTTTCCCTACATATCAAATCTCCAGTGTAGGCAGAATAATGGCCCCCAAAGATGTCTAAGGTTGCAGATGGAATTAAAAATTGCTTAACCAACTGACCCTGAGGTAGGGAAATTATCCTGGATTAACTGGTGGTTACCAATGTAACAAGCAAGAGTCTTCATAAGTGAAAGAGACAGGAATGTCACTCTGATGCAATGTCAGAAGGATTTGACAGGCCACTGCTGGCTTTGAAGATAGGAGACCACAAGCCAAACAAAGTGGTAAGCCTGTAGAAGCTGGAAAGGTGAGAAAACTGATTCTCCCCAAAAGCCTCCATAAGGAATGCAGCCCTGCTGATATCTTGATTTAAGCCCAGTAAGATGCATTTTGGACTTTTAACCTCCATAACTGTAAGATAATAAATGTGTTGTTTAAAGTCACCAAATTTGTGGTAAATTGTTACAGCGGCAGTAGGAAGCAGATATACAAAACAGAAATCTGTGTTCTCAAACTCCTCTCCTGTCTCTCACTCACTCTGCATCCGTCCCATGATCTCACTGCTGTTCCTCAAGCACAGGTTATACCAAACCCTGTTCTGCCTCAAAAGGGCCTGTGCACTTCCAATGCCCTCAGCCTGAAGTAATTTTTGAATTGCAAAACAATTCTGTTGGAGATGATTGGTGACATAGGGCCTGAGACTAGGAAGAGACAGCTGACTTCTGCTTTTGGCCATGATACAGAAACAAGGACCAGATTTGTCCTCATGCCCTAAACATGCTAGAAAAACAGACAAAACACATGAAACCACGGTTTTAAGATATTGGACAATAGGCAGTGCAGGTGAGTAAAATCCCTAACAGAAATGAAATAAACAAGGTGAGCCCTGGAAGTGCTCCCTGCCTGGAAATTTCAATCTTCAGCACAAGGAGGGGGAATTCAAATTGAGTCAGTTATGTTAAGGAGTTGAGAAGAGAGTTCAGAGTTTGTGGAGGCCAAGGTAGCTAGAATTTGGAGAGCAGAGATGGGCAGTGAGAGGATGTTGGGAACCACCCTGCTTGGTTTCAGAAGCTATAACCCCCCCCCCCCCAAGGCTAAGGCTGAGTGAGTGACCTTGGAACCATAAGCCACTAAGGAGATAAAGCTTATCTCCCTGGCAGGAGCGCCACTTTTGCTCCTTTTACATCCATAATTGGCCCCCAATGCTTCATGGGTTAGCCAATGATGGGTAATATTCCCCAAGTGGGGAATGATCTAAGGCACGATCATGGGGAGGCCCCAGGGAAGGACTTGGGGGCTACAGCAAAAGGGGGTGATGGACCCTTGACCCTTGTCTTTGACATAGCCTAAGTCATTCTGTCTTCGAGAAGTCTCCTAAACTCTTGGCTGCCTTACTTCCCCTGCCTGACTTAAGCCTGAAACAATGCCAGTGGTGGGTGCAGCCCTGTGCTGGAAAGGGCAGGTCCCTAGGGCAATCAGGCCTAAGAAAGAATATTAAAATCCTGTGAAACCTGCTTTGCTAAAAATGATCTCAATTAAATGATAAGGGTCCAAGCAGGAAATGAGTTTGTTTCTCAAAGTTTTATAGCCCTTTAGCTAACAGACACTGACTCAGAATAAGCCCTCATAGTTCTTTGTATGCTATCTATTGTCCGATCTGTACTGTCTGACAATGACTGATGAGCTTTACCTGTATGCCTGTGCAAATTGATTCCAATAAAAGCCCACTGATGAAAAGGCTCTTGGCCCTTCTCCTTTGAGAGACTGGCCACCTTTCCTCCCCAAGCAGATCATGTCTTGGTAGATTTATTTTCATCTGTGGTGGCCGGGGTGGGGGGAGCGGCACCCTGCAGGTGGAGCCCCTCCCCCCCCTGCAAAAGCAAGCCCCAGCAATTTGCAGAATATTCCCCACAATCCTTTGGCTGAGTACTTAGAGTGCTTATGTCTAAGGCACATATTGAGGCCTGGGAAAGAACCAGCAAAAAGGAGAAGGTAGACACAGGCCAAGAATAGAGTTCCCACCAGCCTGGGTGGAAAAAATTCCTACCACATGGAGCACTAAATAGAGTCCTCACAAAGACATTGGCTTGGTAAAGAGGCCAAGTTAGCCCTAGATAAAGACTATTGTGGACCTAAAACTCAAAAGCAAGCTTCTAAAGCAGCACAGTCCAACAGAACTTTCTGTGATGATTGACCAATATAGTCGCCAGTAACTGTGTGTGTACACTTGAAAAATACATCATATGACTGAGGAACTAAAATTTAAATTTTACTTAATTTTATTAACATAAATTTAATTAGACATATGTAGCTAGTGGTTACTATTTTTGACAGGGTATTTCTGAAGGATCAAACTGTTTCCAGGTAACCTTATGGTATCTCAGAACAAAGCCTAAATATATTTAAAGAAAAACAACTTCCAGCATTCAACAGTGTAAAATCTACAATGTCTGGTAGCTGACAAAAACTTATGAGCTATAGAAAAAAGCATAAAAATATGACTAACCCATAAATAGGAGGAAAAAAAAATCATTTGATAGATACCTAGAAATGACACAAAATGATAGAATTAATACTCAAGTACCTTAACAGGTATTTTAATATGTATTCTATATTTTCAAGAAGGTGGAGCAAAGCATAAGTACGATGAGGTAAGAAATGGAAGATATTAAAAAAAATTAAACCTCCAGAAATGAAAATACAGTTCTGACAAGAAAAAAAATCCCATTGTGGATGGGATTAACAGTCAAAGGAAAAAACAGTGAACTTGAAGATACATCATAGAAACCATCCAATTAAAAAATAAACCAGAGGATCAAGCAGCTTCACATATGTGCAACTGGAGTGGCTGGTTTCTTTGAGGGAAACAGGCAGGTACTTGGAAAAAAAAAAGACAAAATAGAGGTTTTTCATTCTGAAGCTTATGAAATGATGATGGGAAAATGAAGGGAATAGAAAACCAAGACCTCAGAATTGCACTGGAGTGTGTCACAAGGAAGAGTGCAGAGGTACTATGAGAGCATTAGCTGGGGCAAGAGGAGCACTGACCACTGGGTTTTCATTGAGGGAAGAAAATTTTTACTGTCTTGGGCTGATGGAGGAAATCAATAGTCATGATGTGAAAAAAAGTCTTTATGCCCTGGTTTGGCTGTAAAATGATCTTTACATTTCCAAAGAATCTTCAGTAACATCTATGTGGTGTACAAAAATGCTTAATTCCCACCCCCCCACCCCAACCTGAAGCAAAGTACTTTCCTGCCTCCTATTAATAATCCTCTCATTCTCCAAGGCTCAACTCTGAGAGTTTTGAGGTTCCTACATTTTTTCCTTTCTTTTCAATAATGCTATATAATGAGAACATTTTATTCAAAATAATCTTAATATCTGAAGAGAAAATGAGGTTATACATTGTTCTCCCTAAAATAGTTTCTCAGGTTGGTCTTTGAGAGCTCAAGCTTTTTTTGCAACTTATTCTATCAATTAGGTATAATTATATTTCAGAGGAAATGTACCTCTTGGGCCTCTGACTTCTTTATGTAAAATAGCAGCAACACTCTAATTTTTTTTAGTATCTAGTTATACTTACAAAGTATGATATCTGAAAATAAACACTACAAAGTATGAGAAAATGTAATGGCATACATGATGAGAACTGAGCAGAGAATGAAAACAAATGGCATTTATATTTAAATGTACTTTTTATGAAGAAATTTGTTCTAATATAAAATTTGTTTATGCCTGCCAATAATATATTGTGGAAAAAAATGAGCATGTACCTGTCAAACCCAGGAACTGTGAGATTACTTTTGAAATGCACAAGTGAATATTAAATCAAGGTCCTCAGAGAACAGCTTTAAAAACCTTGTAATCTATTTTCAATTGTGGAACAGACAGGGGGACAAAGTCACCATTAAAGTTTAGAAGCCCCTGGGTTATTTAAGAAAGGTGAGACATGTTAAACATTAATTAATCAATTAAAGACATTTCTTTTCAAGCTGGGCTCCAAAATTTTAGAGTAAAATGTAGTTCATTCTTTATTTACTAAAAAGTTCATTTTTCCACTTTTAGGTAATGTGATTAATTTTAACATAGTTGGATAACCAAAAATATTATACTTGGTTAAGTTAAAAGTGTTCCCTAATTAAGAGGATATAAGTTTAAATGGTGTTGAACAGGAGAAAAATCGTTCCAATATTAAGTATCACTGACGTATTATATACCCTTTAGTTTTTTGTTAACCATCACCAGTTTTTCTTGAAAGGGGATGGCATGTGGAGAAGGAATGCCAATCAGGAATCTGCACTTTCACTGTTAGTTCTGCCACTTCCCGATTCAACCCTGACTGGGCAATGGAGGGCTGACCGAGGCCGCCGGCGCTCACCGAACAGGCTGGCTCACTCCCTGGGCGCTGCGGCAGGACCCTAGCTCGGAGGCTTCCCGAAACCCCGCTGCAGCAGGAGAGCGCACCAATCTCCCAGCGCGCAAGAGCAACTCTGGGGAATAAAGAGTTTAGTGAACGTGGGTCCAGAACGGTGCCTAACGTTTGAAAAAACTGGTACCTAGCCGTACCGTCCAAGCGGCAGGTGCTCAAGAGCTTTACTAAGGCAGCAGAAGGGCACTACGGCCTGCGCATGCGCGTTCATTCCAAATGCAGTCGCTGGCGGCAGGGAGTAAGATATAGCTGGTATTGGAAAAAAGAGAAGCGGCTGGTTACTAGGAGACGGGACGCTCGGATTGGACGTCTAAGCGCTGCGCCGGCGTGCGCCTGCGCGGCGCGAAGGGACCAGAAAAAGGCCTTTTTTAGGAGTCTGCTTTAGGCTGGCAGGTGGGCGTACGCACGCTACTTACGTGTGTGCACGCGCAGGGAGTGTGTTCCCCGCGAGAGGGAGGGTCCAGCCAGGTACGCGTGCGCACAGGGACTGTGGGCGCGCAGGACGGAAGCGAAGCGTAGGCGCCCGGGAGGTGGAGGACAAGCCCCCCTCAGGTACATAGCGTGAGGGCGGGGCCCACGGAGGCGTCGGTCGGCGCTAACCGCCCCCGCCTCCTTCCCTCCGGGTCCTGCCTTCCTCCACCTCCACTGGGGCGGGGCAGGGTCGTTTTGGAGGTGGGAAGGGAGGGATAAGGGGCGGAGAATGGTGATGGGGTGGGTCCAGGATCCCTGGCGGAGACCGAGACCTGGTAGTCGCCTGGATGAGCTCCGAGGAGGTGTGCGGACTCAAAAGTCCTGGGAGGGACCCGGACCTCCAGGTAGAAAGCAGGAGTGATGCGCCAGGATGGGATAAAGTAGCTTCGGGGCGGGAAGGCCTCTGAGAGGGCAGCTGCAAGAGGGAGTGTGTGGCGGGGGTTTGGGGACTGTGGGCGACACCGAGGTAGGTATTCACTTCTTGAGCTTCTGTGAGCGACAGTAGCGGGCAGGATTTCGGTCCCTGAAGCTCTCCAGTAGCAAACTTTGCTTCTGTTGCCGTTTCTTAGGAGTTTAGGTTTGAGCCCAGTTCCTATGGTGACCGCTTCGCTTCTTGCGGCAGCTCTCCACTTGGTGGTTGTGGGGAACTTTTCAGTGTAGAAACGCTCTGGAGTGGAGCCGAGGAATTTGGAAGTCAGAGATTAGGGAGTTAAACCTGGCACATTCCCAACCTTCTAAGCCTCTTTACAGACTTTGGGAGGCCGAGATTACATAGGCATTTGCATGAACATCTCATATTTCAGTAGGAAAGGCAGGATAATCTGACTTTTATTTGGAAAAATAGTTGAGACAAAGTGAATAACGATCATGGACCTAAATACGCATAGAAATACATTTTTTCTCTTAAATAAAGTCAAGGATCGCGGCTTCAGGAAAACTTTGCAAAGATGATAGTGTCCCAGAGTATTTCTTCTTCCACTACATGCCCTTATATCTCAGGATATTCGGTGTTTTAAATTTCTTCATTTCAACTACACTTCATTGTTGTTGTTTTACTTATAAGGACATAGAGTAACGATTGATTTTTAAAAAGTAGAAGAAAACAGGTTAGTTATAAAAAGAAAGTGCACACATCAGTTAAATCTGCTTCCAGGATAAAACTGATTTTTGTTTATATTTTAGTTAATCAGTGAATTAAATCAATCTAAATTAGTGACATAATTAGGAAGATACATTAATGAAATATTTATTTTAAACAATAAACTTTAGCATTAACTAATGGCAGCTTCCCAGATATATGCTATTTTGTTTATCTTTTGAAAAAACTCACTGCATTAGCCCAGCATATAATCAGTTGTAGAGCTTTTCTGGGCTTTCTTTCTGTCTTCCTTTTTAGTTGCTTAGTGCAGTTTGTTTAGGATAATTTGATATTAAGGTACTCCAGATACAGAGGCAGTTAGAGCAGGTGTTACTATTTATCCCCTTTTCCCATCACATACTTGGTTATAGCCACTACCACAGCCACTTCCTTGCTTTTTATTTTTTTAATAGTTTCTTCACCTTTATATGTGAACGTGCACATTCTAGTTTGACTTGTTTTTGAACTTTATATAAATGGAATTCTATCAAGTATTTCTTTTTATTTTGCTTTTTTACTCAACATTGATTTAAAGATTTATCCTTGTTGCTTATAGTTTGTTGTTTAGTGTTCTATTGTAAGAGTATACCACAGTTTATCTACTTTTCTCTCAGTGGACATTAAGGATTTTACAGTTTTTGGTAAATGTCAACAACACTCATGTTTCATATACATGAACCCCATATATATGTACCCCATGTTAATCTTTTTTTCCCATGATAATCTTTTAAAGTGAGCTAGTTAGTAAGTCAATTCTATGTCTTAGTTATGCTACTACCATTAGTTTATATATCATTCAATTCTTTTAGTTCACAAGTTCAGAAAAGCCTTTTGGAAATAACTATTTAAAACTTTATCTTTCCAAGAGGTCTTGATAAGTGGTATCTCTCCTAAGGCCATTTATTTATGTTCTTCTAAAGACAAGTTATTTCTTTTCAGTATAATCAGAATTGAAGAGAAATTAGGACTTGGGGTTTAAATGGAATGACTAGGAGAGATTACTTCTTTTTCATAAAAAAGGTTAAACATTGTGGCTTTACTGTTTTGTTTGAAGTGAATTCCCAAAACTTTTGTTCACTTATATTTATTATAAACAAACCTATGTCAAAATTATTAAAAATTTTGTATGGTTCTCTGTATATCTTTTGGTAAGTGAGGGTACTCTTTCCTACTTCAAATGTTTATCAGTCAAACATTTGGGACAATTTTATAAAAAGAAAACAAGTTGACCTGTTGTAGGACTAGAATTCAGAATCCTACATAAAATACTCTAGTAATTTTAATTATTCTATCAAAATGTTTAGTAGACCTTTGTTGAGCACATGTCATATACCTGATATTTTGCTTAACACTAATGATACTCTTTAGCACATGATTTAACTTCCATTTTCACTGGAAAATTAAAATGCTACCAGGCAGAGAGATCTTCAGATTTCTACCTCTCATCTTAATCTTCCCCAACCTTGCTTTTTTCTTTCTTGTCTCAGAGGAGACAGATTTCTATCCCTTATCTAACTCTTCATCTGCACTTGTTTTTCTCTTTCTTGTCTCAGAGAACAGTGCACACCTTTTACCTGGGTTTCCTTTTTGTTAACCCAGTGGCCTTTTTCCATTAGTTAACATTAACCCATGTCTTACAATCTTCATTGTGCTTACAGTATAGGGCGTCTTAACCTGGAGTACAAGAATTTAGGGAGTTCCTGAACCCCCTGAAATTGTAAAGTTTTGTATTTGTTTGCATTTAGAAGAGGACCTGGGGCTTTTGTTTAATTCTGGAAGCTTTGCTTGATGTAAAGAGAATTAAGAAACAAGTTTTTCTTCTTTTGTAATGAAGCTTCAACAATCTCGGTCTTCTAACTTTTGCTCCACCTCTCTCCTCACAATGATACTTCCTAAAAGAAGTCTACATTTTCTATTTCCTTTTTATTACTACTAATTTATTTATTCTCATCAAATTTACTTTCAGCCCCATCCCTACCATTAAAACTACTTTATTCCAATCATTAAAATTGATTATTTTTAAAAATGTTTTATTGAGTACCATTTAAAAATATATTTTATTTATTTATTTTTACAGAGAGGGGAAGGGAGAGCAAAGGGGGAAAGAAACCTTGATGCACAAGAAACATCAATCACCAACTAGGGACCTAGCCCACAACCCAGGAATGTGCCCTGACTGGAAATCAAACCTGCAACCTTTCAGTTTGCAGGCCAGCAATGAATCCACTGAGCCACACCAGCCAGGGCTGGAGTACCAGTTATGTGCTTACATTCTAGAAGGGGAATAGACAAGTGAAGAAATAAATGATATAATTTCAAATAGTATAAGTGTAAATAACCTAATAACAGAGTGAGTAGGAGAGAGCCTACTTTAAGTAAGAGGTCAGGGAAGATCCTCTGACATTTCAGCAAAAGAGCTGGGCTGAGGGTAAGATGGAGCCAGCAATGAAGAGAGTGTTCCTGGCTTGGGGAGAGTGTTCCTGGCAGAGGCAAAGCCGGGACAGATGCTTCCAAATAGAATAATGTTGGCACAGTGAAAGATCAGAAAGAAAACCGATAAAGCTTGTTGGTGAACAGAGAGTAAGTACTAGGTCTGTTTTCAGAAGTGAAGGCAGAGGCCAAATCACATAGGACCTTAACATATTTAGAAATTGTACTGATTGCAGTGGGAAGCTGTTGGAGTGTTTTTAAGCAGGATATCATTGTTTTAAAGTGATTGTTTTGATTTCAGTTTGGAAAATAGTTCTGTGGAGCAACAGTAGAAGCAGAAATATCAATTAGGAAACTTGTTGGTTATCCATGTGGGAGGTCATTGTTACTTGAAACATGGAGATGGTAATAAAAATGCAGAGAGGTGGGTGGATTTGGAGTTAAAACCAACAGGGTATTGACAGATTTGATAGGGTTCAGGGAAAGAAAACAAAGACAACTCCCTTAGTTTTTTGACTTTGGGCACTGACCAAATGATAGTGCAATTTGACATGGGAAGGAACAGAGTAGAGGTAGAGTAGAGAGCAGAACTGCAGGCGGGAGAATTAGAGGTCTGTTTTAGGCATGTTGTAATGGCTGTGGACATCCAATAAACACAATATAATGTGTTTATTAGTGTTCTGATAGGCGTATGTTCATAGTTTTTATATTCGAAGTCTTTTGGAGGGGAATAGAACTCAGAAATACTTTTTTGTAGTTCTTTTTTCTGTATTCCCTTAACATCAATGTATGTTCCTCTGATGTGGCAGTAATTATGCTGTTCTCTTAATTTCTGACTTATTTGTTCTGGACTTCACTAGATTTATTGAGGGTTGAAATTACAGCTTTTATTTGTTTTCCATATTTCTATCACCAGAATCTAATATTGGTTCATTATTATTCTAGCTATTTATACATTTGTTTGATAAT